GCACAGTGCTTGGTACAGTAATCTGTTAATAATTTTTTTTAAGGTTCACGAGTAGATGCTCTATCCACTTTTTGTTGATTTACTATACTATAAAGAAACATTTGAGCAACAATCTTAACCTGTGTGATCTGAGAATTTTTTAGCAAAAACATTCTATCTTCTAAGTTTCCTATGTTGAATCAAGGCAAAATCTAACTGATCTTCCAAAACAGAAAGATAAGTTTGTAAGGAATCAAAACCCAGTAACAAGAGCTTTACTAGATGAAAATATGTACACCTAGAATAATGCAAGCAATAACATTCCCTAAATAAACGAGATGGATAAAAATTGTCTAATAATTAGTATATAGATTGCTCTAACATTTAGAATAGTGATATCTTACCACAATTGAATTGCAGTCTTTCTCAGAAGATCCACGCCAACTATCTGACAAGCTTATGGTTTGTATTGCAGGGTTTATCACAATTTGGGATTGTGAAGTTCTCTGCCCTCTGAGGCCAATACAAATCTTAAAAGGTTTTTAAGTGAAAAGAAAGAACCAGGAAAGGATGATACCATTTTACTCCATTTTTTTGCTAAAACCAAAAAAGCTATCCAGATGTATATAATTCTAGGTTTTTACGCCTTCAAACCTCCCTGTGGGCTGATTTTCGTGGTACCCCTAAATCCTGGGGCCCATCTGAACGGCAGAGCAATAGCTGCCACCTTTTATTGAATATTTATTACATGTGAGATATTGTGCCTGCATTTCCTCGGCTAAGCCTCCCAACAGGAGACAAGATTCCATTTTACAGGTGAGGCTCAGTAAGGTGAGGCTGATTGACCAAGGCCTCACAACGAGGGGCAGAACTTGGGAAAAACTATGGATTTCATAAATCCAGATCTATATGGTGTCAACTTTAGATTGTTGTATAAAAAGAGGAGTGATGTCATGTCACATCAAGGGAACACCAAATAACCCTTTACATTTGAATATGGCAGGCTGCTTATCTTCATTTTCTTTCTTTGTTTTTTTGCTTAGCCCAAAATGAAAAATTAGTTTACATTTTCTATGCAAACCTTATCAGGAGATCCCAATAATGTATTAGGTGACAGAACAGACCAAATTTCTAAAATATTTAAATTTTTCACTCCACAGAGAATAAGTCACACCCGACAACTACATGCATAACATATTTAAACCCATTAATTTAACCAATCAACCAGATTTTAAAGGAGTCCATAAAATTTTTAAAAGCCAATATAACTCAGCAACTTTCCACCTTTATGTTTTTGTCACAGGCAGAACAGACTAGGTGTCCCAGAGTGGCAAAATCACGGAGGCAGGAAGAAGGACTTCCCACCGGCTCGTGTATCTAAGCATCTTTTCCTGCTTTCTTATGGAAAGAAATCAAAGAACTTGGCCAATAATCAAATCAAACTGTTTCAGTGAGTTTTCATGATTCCTGAGAGTATGGTTTCATCCTACAATTTTAAGCTGAGCTTACCAAAGTACAAGAGAAATTCTGCAGCATTTACAACATTCAGCAAGATAACTCAGCACTGCCATTCCTAATAAATCAGAATGTCAATTTATGAATATATAATGAAAATCAGGTGGGCAGAAATCCTGAAATGGGTTGGTAAGTGCACTGCTCCCCTGCAAGGTTCACATGGAGAGCAGCATTTTAAGACTCATATTTGTTGTCCTCCATAATATCTTTAATATCCATTCCCTCCTCTCCACCCTCATTCCCACATTTCTCTACTATCATGGCTTTCAAGCTTGGATCCACAGGAAGAAATACACTCACAGCAGGCATATAACTGAAACAAAAATTTCACAAAACATTACTTGCCTCCGTTACACGCGATACACTCTGTGTATCTAATGTAGATTGCAACCTACCAATGGGCACAACCTTAAGTTTGAAAAACCCTAAACCACTATAGCCATCTCTGTGACCATTATTAATTCATCTCCAGATTGCCACTTATCCTCATAAAATGTAAATCTGACTATAACACTCCTCTGCTTAAAATAGTTAAAGTTCCCTCTGCCTTATCTGTAAAAAAAAAAAAAAAAAAAGTTTTTCTGTGATTCAGCCATTCATTCATTCAGCAATTATTTATTGAGAACCTACTACTTGCTAGGCACTATGCTAGGCCTTGGAGTACATTGGTATATGGGTCCAACATGGCTCCTAACATCATGAAGTTGACAATCTAGCTAAGACAGTCATCACATATATATTTCATACTCATTATGAGTGCTCTTATCCACCTCTCCAACTTAATTCAGTCCCCTCCTCCACTTTTACCACATTGCTGTAACTATTCTGATTTGCACACAGGTCCCAGAAAAAGCCACACTCTCCATCCATTTTGGCCATTGTCTATGATGTTTCTTCTGATTGGAATGCCCTTCTCTCCTTAATCATCTCACAAATCCTCCTCAGCCTTCAAGAATCAACTAAGTGTCTCCTCCTCTATAATCAGTTCCCCGGCCTCCTTTCCACATCCCTTCATTTGTCACTCTTATGTCTTGTCATCAGGTACTGGTCACATGCCTCTATTATAGTGCTGATCCCATTGTTTTGTGATCATTTTTTAAGATGTCAGTCTTCCTAGACTGTGAGTTATCTTTGTATCTACCGCATAGTTAAATGCTCACAGGATAAATGAATGAGTGCTATAATTTTGCATGGATCAATAACTCCATTATGCTGATTACTCAGTTAATCAATGTTTGAAAACATACATTTTTCTAGATTTTACAGTAAATATATATATCTTAAGGACTTTCTTTTTAAAGTCTGATTTCAATATATGGATGTTTTCCTTCATTAAAAATTTGCTCAGCAGCACTTAGTCTGACTTGGGATATTTGTCTTGAAATTGATCCAATGAATATTCTCAATTTCAATAACGACTCCGGCAAGAAAAATCGTACAGGATTTCCAAAATCAATACATTAGGTCAGTGTCTGCGGTGCAGCACAGTTCATACAGGCAATGCAGTGTTACACCATGTGTTTCCATTTCTCAATGCTAATCACTTTTGATTTGAAGATAAGCTGTCAGATGCTATTAATCTGTTTACCATCTCCCACTACCCCACAGAAGGCTTTACTTTCTCCTTTTCAAATAATTTCAGGAAATTTTAGTGCAGCAGAATGACTTTTTAAACAAGCAACTTTTAAATAGGTCATTGTTTTATAAGAGTAATACAGAACACATACTGAATCCATGCAGGGAATATTCTAAAGTTCTCTGTCCACTTTACCTTTTATCACTTTTCCACTTAAGACTCCGATTTCCCAATTTCTACTTTTAGGTTTCAATCTGCTTGGGAAGTCTCTATTTTTCTAAATTCCGTCACCATTAAACATTTTGATTTCTTTCCACATCTATCACTCTAGTTCAAATCTGAACTAGTGTTGGGGAGTTCTGAGACTAGCTCAAGGACCTGGGCAATCTCTAGTACTCTCCATATGAAAATATGAGCCTTCCACGGGATCCTGATGTATACTCAAGTTTGAGAATCACTGCCCTAGGGTAAAGTCCAGTCTGGCGTTGTAGGGTTTCCCAAACCAGTTTTCTTCCATTTACTGCACTTGCCTTCTCAGAGCTCTTCTAAGGAGAGTTTACTCATTATCTTCCAAAACTGCCACTTACTTCCCCAACTGAGATTTTACTCACCTGTCATATCCTTCCTTCTCTATGACACCTCTCCCAACCACTCAGCTTAAATGCCAATGTTTCCTAACACAGTTTCCAGGAATTTTTTCCTCCTTTAATTTCAATTATTTCTGAATACTCAGGTGGTAATCTGCAGAGGTCACAAACTGGCTGTTCCTGCCCACGGAGGGCGTGTGAGTGCGTAACTGAATAGGTTGCCAATAACATGAAAAATCAAGAAAAATCACATAAAAATAAAAATATAGATTTTGGATTTGTGTGGAGAAAATCAGATCTGTGTATGAGGGACCCACATTTCAACATGGCAACAATCGTTTGAGGCGCAAACATTTCAAGCACTTGCCAGCACTTTCCATGCCAAATACAGGCTTTCTTTAGACATCTTCAAATAACTCAAACTGACTTACCATTCTTTCGGTTATGGAACTTTTCATCTTTGTTTTTTGTCTCTCCTAATAGAATATGGCCCATAAAAGAACTGACCTATTCCTGTCTTTTTTTTTTAATTCCTATTAGCTTTAACACAAAACAATATGTTTACTATATAAAAGAATATTTTCCACGTTGTGTACGACCGACTCCAAGATGATTAAGAATCTGCAAAGGCCTTTTGGAAACGTTTTTCTAACAAGTTGGGAAAACTATAGCAGTCTGTTTTTTGTCTATTTTCCAAAGTGTCTGTATTAGGGCAGAACTCTAAAGAAAAGTAATAAAATAAGAAATTTTATCATATCATTTTGGCTTAGGTTGCCTTTCAATTTCTAAAGAGAAATACGAATTATTTGAATACACTACGTCTGCTGGAGGAGACCTAACCCGGGCCCGGCACAGATTTGACAGAACCTAGATAACTGTTTGTGACTTTCAGTTTGAACCCGATTTTATATCCTGGATTTTATCCCATAAAAGAAGAGTTTTAATTTCACTCTCAGCAGTAGTTACACTGGACCTTTCTCCAACCCATCCTCTGGTTAACCATTGGCCAGGTTTGGCAGCAGCAAGGAACGAACAGCCTTACCAAAACCTCCTTCCTGTGGCACAACGGTAAGCTCACAAACCTGCCCAAAATGATGAAAAAATTTTAACACTGAACAGACCGTTTCTTTTTTAAGGAAAAAACAACAAATCTTCTGTTTGAACCCATTTTGCTGACGTCTGCCTGTCCACACACATCCCGCACCCCCAATATCATCCAATTCAGCAAGTCTCCCTTTCCTTCCCCGACCCCAAAGCCTCCAGGGGGCGCCCCCGACGCCGGGGTGGGGAGCCCAGCGAGGGCTCTGGACGCCGCGCGCAACCCCCGCCCCATACTCACTCACCCAGGCCTCCGGAAGTACGGTCCCGCCCCGCCCCTTCCGCCGCGCTGGCTTCGCCCCGCCCCGCGCTGGCCGCGGCGCGCAGGCGCAGTGCCGGCTGCCGGGAGCGTGGGGCTTGGGGAGCGGCGGGAGGCCGGGGGCGACGCGGGGCGGGGCCAGGGTCCCGGCGGACGTGGCCGCGGGCTTGTGGGGTGTGGCGGCAGGCGCTCGAGGATGGGGTCTTGCGGTGTTGAGCGGAGTCGGGAAGTCGGCGGAGCGTGGGCAGCTGCTGGGGAAGGGAAGCGGGGAGGATGCTTTACAGCTTTGCGGGTAGCTTTTGCTTTTCTCCAGGTCCAGGCTGCATCTTTCGACTCCTGGCTCGAGGGTAACGTTCGTCCCCTCCCGGCCTTGGTGCTTCTCGAAGCCCGGGAGACGGAGCCAGAGTCCGGCCCCGGGTAGCCTGCGGTGGCCGTCGTACGCAGACCCTCTTCTTCCTCTCCCTGGTAGCTTAGAGGCTGGGGTGGAGGGTGAGACATGGCCCGTCTGACACACTGGGGACACTAAGGAGACCTGGCCTCCGCCAAGTAGTTTCCAACCTGTTGGAATCAATGCTCAACGTTCTGCGGAAATAGAACTCAGGTTTTTAAGCCATGGCGTGGTTTTTAATGGCTCAAGGACCCGCCCTTTTTTCTCTTAGAGAAGTTACACATTCGTATTGATTAATATTTGTTGCACCCAAGGCAAGGACCCGCGCTCACCGCCCTCGGAAAGTCCCCGAGGAGGAAAGGCGCTGGCCTGAGATGGAGATGACCGCGAACACGCTTAGTATCTCCTCCCTCACTGCGGGGCAGGATGGTAACTCATTTTTTGAAAACCTGTTAGATTAATAAGTAGTAAAACCTGAGTTTTACCTAAATTGCAGGATGTTTTGGGAAAACTGAAGGCTCCCAAGTGTTTGCTGTCATGTAATAAAGACAGCACGAATAGGAAATAGCAAGGATCAAATTATGGCGAATAGAAGTGGTTATAAATGGAGGCTGTATTATAATTAGTATTTAGAGCCAAGACCCCAGTCCCCATGTGTGATTTGCATAATTGCATGCATTTGTGAGGGGTTAGGCCTTCCTCAACTACTTGATATGGGTTAATTCTTATTGAATATAGAACCATAAAAAAAGAATTATTAGTGTTCCTTAGTGTCTTCATGATTATTTAGGCTAAAAGACCACACTTTTACTCCAGAGTAATTGTAGATCCATGAATAGTCAATTACAGAAAATTAAACTTAGATCTAAATGAAGGAGCCTAGTGGACCAATCATGGAAGCAGTCAGACCTGGTTAGAAATCTCAGCCCCTGAAAACAGTGAATACAATAAGGATAGAACTTGGGAGAAGTGATTTCATCTTTTTAAGCTTGAGGTTGCTCATCTGTATGATGTTTTGTGTTTTTTTGGTAAGTGGTAAATTTTATGGAAGCTTAGTTTGCATCACCTAAGGAAATGGGGAAGTTTGTTAACTTGAAAATGATTTTTAATCCTTACCTGCTTTTTCTACAAACTCTTAAACATTTTAGTCCATTTCATTTTTTGTTTGTTTGTTTCTTATTCAGATGTTCCCTAAACTGTGTCAGCGAACGCTGGTCTTTTGCAAAATTTTAATAGACCTTTCATGGGAAAAATTTCTAGCATCAGTGTCAGGGAGAACACAAACCTGTCGCTGTGAGGTTGTTGGAAGTACACATAAGTGGAATTCTTGCCAAAAACGTTTAGCCTCAATCTGTGAGGAAACGCTCAGAAAAATTCAAAATGTGATTTGTATCGTCAATGTAGTGAAAGACAACATAAAAAGAGAGGACTGATCTGCATTAAAGGCAACTGTGAACTAGATAGGATTTTTTTTTTATTTTTGAGGAAGTTTAGCCCTGAGCTAACTACTGCCAATCCTCCTCTTTTTTGCTGAGGAAGACTGGCCCTGAGCTAACATCCGTGCCCATCTTCCTCTACTTTATAAGTGGGACGCCTACCGCAGCATGGCGTGCCAAGCGGTGCCATGTCCACACCCGGGATCCGAACCGGAGAACCCCGGGCCCCCGAGAAGTGGAACATGCGCACTTAACTGCTGCGCCACTGGGCTGGCCCTGGATTATGGATTTTGAAAAAGTTATACAGGACATTTTGTGGACAATTGGGGAAATTTGAACATTGGAAGCATAATGGATATATTGACTTAAATTTCTCAGGTATGATAATATTGTGGTTATTTGAAAAATGCTTTTGTTCTTTTAAGATGTATGCTTAAGTGTTTAGGGGTGAGCTCATGGTGTCTGCCCAAACTTTCAGATAGTTCAGTCCGAAAGAAAGTGTGTATGTAGAGAGAAAATATGGCACTATGTTAATTGTGGTTCTAGGTGAATAATATATGAGTGTTCTTCCAACTTTTCTCTGGGATGAGAATTTTTCAAAATAAAAAATTGGAAAATAATTGTAGCAACGTTTTTTAAATAAAGTATTGCTTATGCTTATTTATAAGAAAGTAGAAAAATCACTTGTATGCTAGTTGTCTTATAATCTAACCTTAAGAAATGGTGTACCATGTGTAAGAACTGTAGGAAGTCACTTGAAATATAACCTCATTCCTTTTTTTGTTGTGAGGAAGATCAGCCTGGTGCTAACATCTGTTGCCAATCTTCCTCTTTTTGCTTGAGGAAGATTGTTGCTAAGCTAACATCTGTGCCAGTCTTCCTCTGTTTTATGTGGGATGCCACCAAAGCGTGGCTTGATGAGCAGTGCTCGGTCCGTGCTCAGGATCCAAACCTTCAAACCCTGGGCCACCAAAGGTGGAGCTTGTGAACTTAACCACTATGCCACCGGGCTGGCCCCAGAAATGACCTCCTTGAAGGCATGATAATGAATCTGTAGACTGAGGCCCATTTACCAACCAAAGTAGTGGTAATGTGAGTCATCCTGGTGATCCCTACCCTGTGCTGTGTTTGATGCATTAGAATTTTAACAACATTAATGAACTCTTGTAACCTGTCAGTAGTTTTTTAAATGTTTGTTCATTCCTACAGATATTTATTGAGTGACTACTATGTGCCAGGCACTATACTAGGTTCTGAGATATAGCTGTCACCAATACAGATAAAGCCCCTGCTCACAGAGCTTACATTTGGGGAGCAAGAAAGGACACAGAGTAAACAAGCAAATATGTACCAAATGATCATAGGTGCCGTGTGGAATAATAAACTAGGGTTTAGGGGTTAGGGTGGGTGTACACTATTTTATGTAGGGTGAACAAAGAAGGCCTCACTGAGAAGGTGACCTTTGAGCAGAGACCTGAAGAAAGTGAGGGAGTTGTGGATATGTAAGGAAAGTGCATACTAAAAAGAGGGGGCAGCTTGCTTGGCATGTTTAAAGAATAGCAAGGAGACCAGATGAATGGGTGATAGTAAGCAAGAGGAGATGAGGTCAGAGAGGTACCAAGGCTACATCTGTAATATGCTTTCAGAGGTGTTTTAGCTTCCTTTGTTAAGAGAGTTATCATCTGGGAAGTACTTGCTGTAGTGCCAGAACATAGTAACTGCCAGCTTGTATTATTATTGTACTCGTTTTCTATTGCTGTGGTAAAAAATGACCACAAACAGTGGTTTAAAAGAACACAAATTTATTATTTTACAGCTCTGTAGGTCTGAAGTCCAACCCAGGTCTCACTGGGGTAAAATCAAGATGTCAGGTGACTGCATTCCTTTGAGCAGGCGCTAGAGGGGATCTTGCTTTGCCTTTTCCTTCTTCTGGAGGCAGCTTAGCATTCCTTGGCTTGTGGCCCCCTTCCATCTTAAAGCCAGTAACGGTGGTCAAAGATTCTCTGCGTTAAGGATTCTTGTGATTAAATTGGGCCCACCCAGATAATCCAGGATAATCTTCCCATCTCAAGGTTCTTAACCTTAATCACATCCGTAAAGTCCCTTTTTCCTCATAAGATAACCTATTCACAGATTCTGGTCATGAGAGTGTGGGCATCTTTGGGAGGGGCCATTTTGCCTACCATCGTCTGCCCTCTGGCCCCCAGTCTGTTCACACACAAAATCCATTCACCCTTTCCCAAAGTTCCCCAAATTCTCAACACATTACAGCTGTCTCTAAATCTCAAAAGTCCCAGATCTCATCATCTAAATCTACATTAGGTATAGGTGAGACTCAGTATAATCTATCCTGGGGCAAAATCACCTTCTATCTGTAAACCTGTGAAACTAGAAAACAAGTTCTCTGCTCCCAAAATACAGTGGGTGGAAGAGGCACAACCGTTCCCATTCAAAAAAAGAGAAAAGGAAAGGAAAAAAGGAGTCACCAGCCCCCAACAATTTCAAAACCCCATCAGGCAGTCTCCATTAAGTTTAAGGCCTAGGAATAAATCCTCTGGCTCCTGGTTCTGCTCTCTGGGCTCAGGGCTCCACCCTCTGGGCGCTGGAAATTAGGGCATGGATGTCTTTGAGGGCTTGTCTGCCTATCGCAATTATCATCATTAGATTTACTACAGGGTCCGGCCCTGTGGCCGTGGCCAAGTGGTTAAGTTTGGTCGCTCTGCTTTGGCGGCCCAGTGTTTCGCCAGTTTGAATCCCGGGCACGGACATGGCACTGTTCATCAGGCCATGCTGAGGCGGTGTCCCACGTGCCACAACTAGAAGGACCCATAACTAAGAATATACTGCTCTGTACCAGCGGGCTTTGGGAGAAAAAGGAAACAAAAAATCTTAGATTTACTATTATTTCTTACTAATATTCATTTAGTAGTGGTTCTTTAGATTTTAAGTTTCTCCATTACCCCAGTCAAGTGGTTAATTACCTTTACACAAATACAGTGTCAGTACCTGAGGAGCTCACCATTTTAAAGAACTTTATTGTACATCATTTCCGGGTAAATGCAAATATGCCATCTAATTTCTCTTAGGTGGAAAATACACTCCCATTTTTATATACAGATCAAATTTTCTTTATATGAAGTTCATTTATTATAAAATTACTGGTTTCTTTCAGGCCCAAAGGTAACTATATTATGTTTCATTTTATGGGATAGGCAAAATTTTACAACCTCTAAGGTCATCACTCTCGCCCTTCAAGGACACTGGACACCCATTTCTGCCTCCCAGCAGGTGGCAGCAAATCAATACTCGATAAGGTGCAGTAAAATCAGTGTAATTTTTTTGTCCTGGTAAACGTTCTGGATGTTGCAGGCTGACTTTTCTTAGCTAGAAGAGCAGAAAGAACATTGCTGCCAGATTGTATGAATTTAGATCAACTTATCAACTGGTTGGTAAAGTGTAATTTATGTGACTAAATTTTATCATATAGTTATATTGATATTATTCTTCATTGCTTGTTTCTCACAGAACCAAAAGTCCATTTGTAGGCAATTTTGGTGGAATAATAATAATGCTCGTATGTTATCTCCATAGATAAACACTAGTATCCATAGCCATTAATTCGCTAATATACATCAGCATGGCACAGCGTTTCAAAATTATGGGATACAGATAAAGTATTCTTAGAGGAAAATTTATTGTTTTTCATTCCTTTATTAGGAAAGAAGAAAGAGTTAGTCAGTAGTCTAAGTCAGGCTCAGCAAACATCCCTGGGCCAAATCTGGGGTGTATCCTGCTTTTGTGCTCCCTACAAAACTCCTAACAAAATGATAAAAAAATAGACACATTATCAGTATCTGGAATG